TATCATGGAAATTTTCCTTAATAATATCTTGAAAGATGATATCTAGGCTTTTTTTTATCATAGCTTTCAGGGAGTCCAATAATTTTTAAATTATCTCTCCTTGATCTATTTTCCAGGTGAGTTTTTTTTTCCATGAGAAATTTCATATTTTCTTCTCTTTTTCTTCTCTTGATTTTGTTTTAGTATTTCTCAATGTCTCATGGAGTCATTAGCTTCCATTTGCCCAATTCTAATTTTTAAGGAATTATTTTCTTCAGTGAACTTTCCTACCTCCTTTTCCATTTGACCAATCCTATTTTTTAGGGAGTTGTTTTCTTCAGTGAATTTTTATACATCTTTCATTTTTTGTGTTTCCTTTACCAAACTGTTGACTCTTTCTTCAACATTCTCTTGCATCACTCTCATTTCTTTCCCCAATTTTTCTTCTATCTCTTTTATTTGATTTTTAAAATCCTTTTTGAGCTCTTCCTGGAATTCTTTTTTGGGCCTGACACAAATTTACATTTTTCTTTGAGGCTTCACATGTAGCTATTTTGACATTGTTGTCCTCTTCCCTATTTGTGTTTTGATCTTTCCAGTTACCATAGTAACTTTTCATGGTCAGGTTCTTTTTATTGTTTACTCATTTTCCCAGCCTATTTCTTGACTTTAGGTTTTGTGTTAAAGTTGGACTCTGCTTTTGGGGTGGAGAGGGTACTCTCCCAAGCTTCAGGCATTTGTGCACCTGTTTTTAGAGTTAATTCTGAGGACCTGTAAGTTTTCAGTTCTTCCAGGGTGATACAATCTAAGGAGAGATCTGGTTACTGTTCTCCTGTTGTGCTCTTGTCTGTGAGTTAACTGTTAGCATTCTTTTCTGCCCTGGAACTGTGACCAGGGTCCCTGTTCCCCTGCAGCCACATTCTCTAGTGTGTTAATAATGCTCCTCCTCTCCCTGGGACTGCAACCCAGGCCTGCAACCTGGATCCCCATATGGGCAACGCAACAGAGTTCTGCATCTAGTGTTAGCAAAGTGTCCCTTGTAATCTCCTGACCAGTTGCAGCCCCCTTCCCATCTGTGGGCTGAGAGCTCCAGAATGGCCACTATTGATTCAGTTGACCCAAAGGCCTGTGCTGGTTTGTGGGAGAATGGAAGAGTGGGCGCAGCCTGCTATTAGCTTGCTGGACCCTGCTGGAGTCAGACCTTTCCTGTCAACCCTTTAAGTTGTCTGTTTCTCTGAATTCTAAATAGAGATCATAGGATTGTAGATTGAAAGGTAGAAGGGACCTTAGAGATCACCTGTCCAACCCCCTTAATTTATAGATGAGATAAAAAGCTTGACTTCATGTTTCTCTTATGCTGAGGCATAATTCGTGCTTTTTGAGCCTTACGCTCCTTGAGCAAGTCCCCAGGCTGTCTTTCAAATCCTTCTGTTCTATGGAAGATTTTCCTTTGCAGCTTGTAAAATTTTTTCAGGACATTGCAATATGAGGCAGCATGGCTTAGTGGACAGAGAACTAGACTTGGAGTCTGAATGACCTGGGTTCAAGTCCTGACTTTGACACATTCTGGCTGAGTTTCCTCTCATGACCCCCAGCAATTCTCTGACTAAATTGCAGGACAGTTGAAGACCTACATTAATACAGACATTTCCTTACTTTTACTTCTCTACCCTGATAAAATCATAAGTCTAGACCCCTTCCCTTTGCACTCTTTTTCTCCCTCCCCACCTCAAAAAAAGGATAGTAAGTTCTATATACACTCTGACACAAAAAGTTAGTATATACTGTCTGAACTTTGAGTATATGTGTACTTAGATGTGTGCCTGAAAAGGGCAGCTAGGTGATGCAGTGGGTAGAGTACTGGGTCTGAAGTCAGGAAGATTCATCTTCCTGAATTCAAATCTGGCTTCAGGCACTTACTAGTTGTGTGACCTTGGGAAAGTCGCTTAACCTTGTTTGCCTCAATTTCTTCATCTGTAAAATGAGCTGGAGAAGGAAATGGTGAACCACTTCAGTATCTTTGCCAATGGGGTCATGAAGAGTTGGACACAACTGAAAAATGACTGAACAATAGCATGCCTGAAAAATGGTGTATATATCTACTTTTTGTAAGTTTATTTAAAGGAATTATGCTGAATTCATTTGTAATTGCAATGAGGTAATTTGCACATACAGATCCAGCTTGGATGATATGCTCATTTCAATTTGAAATTTTGAACTTTTCTTTGTTAGATTCTTTTCTCCCGGGGCACATCTGAGCTGGTATGCATCTCTTCTAGACAGGGGAAGTGCTATGAATATTGACCAGAATGATATCTCATGGAAGCTATGGGAGTTCTACCTGTCTGCCACATGAGGAAATGAGACAGAGAGGAAAGGCTAAAAATATTAAAATATCAGCCATACCAAAAAATGTACCAGGCAATAAACATTTTAATGAGTTCTTCATATGAGGAAATTTGCAGGTTGTAGCTACTATGTTGGTAGTAAAGTCAATTAAATAGAACATTTATTTCCCCTTAATTTTTCTTGTCTGTAATTGTTATTTGGCCTGGGTGATTGTGTGAGAGAATATTTCTATTAATAGTTCTCTTTTCTCTAGTGCTTTTCTCAGAGCAACCTTGTGAGTTAGCTAGTGCAAGTATTATTTTCTCCCCACCCCATTTCCTTGCACCCATTTTACAGGCAGGGGAATTAAAATTCAGAGAGAAAAAGTGATTTGCCCACAGTAAGTACTGGCTTGAGAGCAGTAGCAGTAACTAGGATGGGATGACCAGGGTTTTTTTTTTTTTTTTTTTTTTTTTGCCAAGGCACAATATTTAAAAGGCTCTGACATAACTTATAATCCTTCAGCAGTGTAAAAATCAATCAATCAATCAATAAACATTTGTTAAGCTTACTCAATGACAAGCATTGTGATAAGTTCTTGGGGATTACAAAGAAAGACAAAAATAGTGCAGGCCTTCAAGGAGCTTATATTCAAATGGGGAAGATAGCATGTACCTATAAATCGGTATTTTTATATAGTTATATTTATAAATACCTACATAGGCATATATAGTTATATTTGTACATCCATGTGTATGTATATATGTATCCATACACACACACACACACACACACACACACACACACACGGTATGTACAAAATAGAAGTGGCTCAGTGCTGGGGCTGGAATGCTGGGCCTGGAGTCAGAAAGACCTGAGTTAAAATCTGGCCTCAGATACTTATTAGTTGTGTGACCCTAGTCAAGTCACTTAACCTTTGTTAGCTTTAATCCACTGGAGAAGGAAATGACAAACCACTCTGGTATCTTTGCCAGCAAAACCTCATGGACAGCATTAGCGTGCTGTGCTCCACAGAGTTATGAAGAGTTGGACAACAACAAGAAGATAGATCCAACCTAACTTTAGAGAAAATGGAAAATTCCCACTACTACTTTTGGATAAAGACAAAATAAAAACAAGAAGATAATTTCCTCCTTTATTTCAACAGAAAAATCACAGTGTATATTTAGCACATAGTGTATGTGCTGTTAATTCTTCTGACTTTCTTTAGCAATCAGACTTATAGTTGATTAATCTGGTCCTGAAAAATGTTTTAATATTCATTATGCAGACATTTTAAGTAATGGTTTTTTTTAATCTGACTTATCTGGGCTTAATTTATTAGATAATTTGTGTGCATCTATATATAGCTTTGATAACACTTTTACATATACTTTAATCATTTTCCTTGTCTATGGGATCCAAAATGGTGCCATTTGCTGTCAACCACCATTTTTCATGTGTTTATGTGTGTGTGTATGTGTTTGTGTGTATGTATATATACTCCAATATATTTGATTATATATGGCTATAAACATACACACATATGTGTGTACATATATACACATATATCAAACAAAAAACCATAACTGGGCCTATATTTGATTCCTTTCTAGTTTAGTAGAAATTTATATATATATATATATAATCTATATATATAACATGTACATACACACATATCATATATAACATATAATAATACAAGTATTATGCAATATAATATGTAACATATAATATAATTATGTAATATATGCACATACACATAAGCAGAGCCGTTGATCCTGAATTCTCAAATACTATGTCAGCAAAGACCAAGATCTGGAAGGTTTTTACTAAACTAGAAAGAAGTTTTCATTTATTTGCTAACTAAAGACTGGTCCAGCTGAGTTCAAAGAGCCTTATTACCAGGTTGGTCATGTATGAAGTTGCAGAAGGGTTGTGATCTCTATCAGGGGAGGGATTACCCATACTGACAAAATCCCAAATGTTTGAAAGAATGAATGAAAAAGCTTTTAAGTACTTATTACATGCCAAGTGCTGTGTTAAGCACTGGGGATATACATTCAAAAAGGGGACATTCTTGCACTCAATAAGTTTGGATTCTTATATGGAGAAATAACACATAAAAGGGAGTATTGAGGGCATTTTGATCTGATATGTCACAAGGAGAATGAATGGTGCCATAGGGAAGTCAATTGATGAGCCAGCTAATAATAGCAATATTGATTTGATTAGGATTTCTAGTACAAAAAGTAGAAAGTGGTGTGTATTATGGGGGGAGGGAGGGCAGGGGATTGAGGGGAAGGTTATATGTAGGGTGGCAGAACAAAATGGCAAGAAGATGAGTGAGTTTGGGCTCGAGTACTCACCAATCAGGATAGTATGGAAGCCAGGGCAAGTGTTCAAAGCTAAATGTATTCAGTTACCAAAGGCATAGTCCCAGGAGATCAGTCTTAGATGCGTGTATCAGCAGGATGAATGTCAAAAAGAAAGCTGGGGTAGATGTCTTGAATTATGTTCACATTCATGTATATACACACAGACACACACATACATACACATATGAATACATATATGTATATGTCATATATTTTTCCTAAGCCTGGACTTGCTCATGGAAAAAAATGTCTTAGTGAACATGGAAGAATGTTGTTTTTTTTCTCTCTCTGTATGTTTGCGTGTTTGTTCAATAGACCCTGACACAGGAACAAACTATTAAAAACACCCAAGAGAGTTACGATGATGAGATTCAACTTTACAATGAGCAGATTGAAACTCTGAGGAAAGAGATTGAAGATGCAGAAAAAATGCTGGAAAAGTACACTAATGACTGCCGCCAGTTGGCAATATACCAGCAATCATTGGAAAATGAATTGGAGCGGTACAAGCGCATCATTGAGAATGAAGACAACAGGTACAGTGGTCCCAGGTCATGGAAAGGGAGCTTCTCATTTTTCATGATCCTGGGAGTTTATTGTTTTGGGAGGACTTTGACTCTTATAAAGGGAATTAGGCAGTCAAGTCTCTGAAGAGTGAGAAGAGGTTACCTTTTTAACTTTGTGCTTTGAAATATGTTTTTTAAAGTCTGGCCCATGAGGATAGATTGACTGGAGGACTCTCTTTACCAGGAGTCGGGGGGTCTTTCTGTAGGCTCAGAGTCCTTTATGTACTATTTGTGGAACTTATTTTTGTTCTTTTTCTTTTTAAAATAACATTTAAGTTGATTTTTTTAATCATCAAAATTTTTCCCAGTATCCCTCTCCCTCTCAGAGAAAACTATCCCTTATAAGAAATAATTTCTAAATAAAAAAAAGAAAGAGAAAAGAAACCAGCAAAAACTGATCAATAAATAGAAAAAGTTTGAAAGTATGTACTATGTATTACACCCATGGACTCCCCAACTTTATAAAAGTGTGGGTTGGGGTGTCTCTTCATATTTCTTCTTTGGAGTCATGCTTATTCTTTCTAATTTTGCAACATTCACTTTTGATTGTTTTGTGGTGGATTTTTCCATTTACATTGTTGTAGCCACTGTTTATATTGTTTCCTTGGATCTGCTAATTTCACTCTGCATTAGTTCATATAAATCTTTCCATGTTTCTCTGTCTTTATCAGGTCATTTCTTATAGCACAATAATATTCCATTACATGAATTTGTCACAATTTGTTTAGACATTACCTCCCCGCTCAACTGATAGACAACCACTTGATTTACAATTCTTTGCTATCTCAAAAAAAATGTTGCAACTAATATTTTGATGTATGTGGGGATTTTCTTCTTATCACTGGCCTCTTTGGGGTATAAGTCCAGTAGCAGAGTCTCTGGGTCAAAGGTATGGACATATCAGTCACTTTCTTTGCAAAATTTCAAACTGCTTTCCAAAATGTTTGTATTGATTTGAAGGACTTCTTAATGCACTTGCCTTTTTTCACATTCTTGTCCAAATATGACCTTAAATTTCAACTCATTTATCACTAAGCACAATCTGCAGTTAAATAGTCTGTCAGTATTGATTATTGAAAAGTATTCTTGGTTCCAGATCCTTCCTTCAGTGTCCCACTCTGATTACTCATTGTGGTAGTGATTTTGGGGGCTATGTCCATTGAGTATAAGCTTTCTCAGAACCTATCAAGTGGAAAGTTTAGGAATATGGGCCCAATGATGAACACTTGTACAAGGATGCTCCTAATTAAGTTCAGAGAGGCTCATCACTACAAAACTAACTATAATGTCATGAATTTTTTCAATCATAGCAGCTCATAAAATTGTCCCCTACAGCACAGAGAGGTTGTAAACTATGTTGGCAGAAAGAATATCTAGACTAAAGAAATTACAGTTTTTTTGAAGTAAAGAATGATTCCAGATGTGATATTTTTTGATGGGGGGAAGGGGAAGCAAATAAAGTAACACATGTAAAAATGTATGTTTAGTTGAACTTGAAGTATGCACTTCTCTTTAAGAACTTTTGCTCCACCCGACTTAAACTTACTGTACTTGGAAGATGGGCTCAATTCTTCTTGGAGGTGATAAGAAGGGCAGAACCTCACTAGCCAGTTGTAGGCCAAAAAGCATCATTAGCAAGAACTCTAGGTCAAGGGGAAGCTAAGGCTTCAGGGTTGCATTATCTCTTCCTAGCAGGTCAAGAAAATTCTCATGATGCCATGGCACTGGGTAGAATATCAGAGATTAATGATATTCCATATGGCATCACTAGAACAGGACAGGGTTAGGATTGGATATAGGCAAATCCCAGGAGCAGACTTATCTTTCTCTCCAGAAAAGAATGAACTGTTTTTCTAATCTGGGAAGGTACCTGAGTGCCCTGTCTCAGGGAATGTGATGCTGAGAAGTCTAAGTTTTTCCATGCTACCAAGGCCCTGCTACCAAGGCCCTTCTAACAGAGAATTGATTTAGTGCAGGGGAAAGAATGCCATATCTGCAGTCAGAGGATATGGGTTCAAGTCTTGGCTTTGACACTTACTACTTCTACCACTTGGGACAAGTTAATTATCCTGCTCAAACCAACAAGAGGCAAGCTTTTCCCTCGCCTTGACAGCTATGCCTATAGCACTGAGGTACTTCATCTGAGCCTCAGTTTTCTGATTTATAAAATGGGGAGGTTGGACTTGATAACTTTTTAAAAAAATTTTTATTTTTAGGCAATTGGGGTTAAGTGACTTGCCTAGGGTCACACAGCTAGTGTCAAGTGTTTGGTCTGAGGCCAGATTTGAACCCAGGTCTTCCAGATTCCAGGGCCAGTGCTCTATCCGCTGCGCCACCTAGCTGCCACCATTAACTTCTAAGGTCTCTTTTAGGTCCAGGTCTGTGAACCTATGTTGTGTATACACACACACACACACACACACACACACACACACACACACAGAGTTCACATTTCTATTGGGCTTCAAGGTTTACACTTTACATATGTTATTACAACCGTTCTATTACAATCCCTAAACTAGGTTGTTCCTAGCACAACCTGGAATTGGGTTCTCTCATGGCCAGCAGTCAAGAGGATTTAGAGGACTGCCCAAGGAAGAGATTCCTTCTTTTGCTAGTAATTCTTGGGGTCTTGAAGCAAGTGGCCAATTGAATGCACTTGGTAGACTGAATCTTATTTAGGAAAACATATACAACTTGAGACACTATTGTCTAATGAGGACTTAAGAAGAGGAACTTTCAGGGAAATTTCTGGTGCAGTGCAAAAATATAAATGCATCAAAAATGATTTCTATAAATGGAGAATATAATTTTACAAAAAATTTTTTGGGGGAGAAATAATCACAGTTAAGTGACTTGTTCAGGGGCACACAGCTAGTAAGTGTTTGAGGGTGGTTTTGAAATCAGATTCTACTGACTCCAAGGCCAGTGCTCTAACCATTGCACCACCTAGCTGTACCTACATAGCAAATTTAAAGAGATGTGCACACAAGCTTTCTTAGATGGAATTACTATAGACAAGAAATAATTAGCACCTATCTTGGGATTTTCTTTTGCTTATTTGTAATGAGGTTGTGTTTGTGTGTGTGTATGGCAGAGAAGGAGAGGAGGGGGAGAGATAGAGAGACAGAAAGAGGCAGAGACAGAGACAGAGACATACACACAGAGACAGAGATAGAGAGACAGAGAGACAGAGAGAGACAGAGAGAGAGAGACAGAGACAGAGACAGACATTGTTGAGAGATGCAGGAGACTCTGTGTGTGTGTGTGTGTGTGTGTGTGTGTGTCTTACGGCTATACAGTTGCTTTGCCTCCTAGAAATATATTCTCCTACCTGGTCCCAAGAAAATAAAATAAAGCAAGAAATCTTGTAAATATCTTTTCCTATATCCTACTACTGCTGGTCTAGCTGGACAATATTTTATCTCCTTTCCCCTTGCTGTAATATCTGTGTTCTGATCCTCATTTGTCTCTGAAAGTTGGAGGGAATATTTCATCTTTTGCATGTCAAGCTTCATGCCAGATTTGAGGGTCTTTAAGGTGGGGGAGGGGCTATTACTTTTAACAGGAGACATCAGCTTTGAATAAAGAAGGTCCAATTCTGTTAGCAATAGTGAACAACCTCTTCAGTCTAGTCACATAGCCTTCTGGGGGACCTTTGTCCAAAACTGTTGTTCTGAATGGATCTCAATCTGTTATTAAATGCCCTAAAGGCTGAGAGGTCCTAAGTTGTTAATCAATAATTATGATATTAGAAACCTCTTCTCGGGGAAGTTTTATTGCTCATTAGGTACAGCTGATATGTCAAAGCCTGAAGGTTTTTGCAGAGAAATTCAGGTCTGCCTATATTCTGGATTGATTTACACTCTTAGCAGTAATAATTAGAACTTTTGCTCCTGGCTCCTGAAACTTTGACAGCTATTTCATGGGAACCTCTGTTGGGTTGTTTTATTTTTCCAGTTTTCTTCATCAGATCTTCCCTGGTCAAGGGAGAATCAGGATCTAGGTTCCCATAAAACCTTTCCCTTCAACAAAGCAGGAACTCTGTCCCAGATTACTGGGATGGAGAAAGCTAACAGGGTATGGAGGAAAATCCCCCCAACAGCTCCTTCTATAAACCCTAGTCTCAATTTTGATCACGGAGCGACTGGTACTCCCTGTACCCTACTTCCAGTTATCCCTCTTGCTTCCAGAGATGAAAAGTCTTTGTGTAGCTCTTCATCAAGATGATAACAACAACAACAACAACACTAATAGCTTTTTTAAGGTTTACAAAACACTTTATAAATGTCTCATTTGATCCTCACAACAACAACCCTGGCAACTAGGTGCTATTGTTATCCCCATTTTATAGATGAGGAAACTGAGGTAGACAGAGGTTAAGTGACTTGCCCAGGGGTCACACAGCTAATAAGTGTCTGAGGTAGGATTTCAACTCAGGTTTTCCTAACTCTAGGTCCAGGGCTGTCTATCTACTTTGCCACCTAGCTGCCTGACACAGCTTACTTCTGTACTGCAAAAGAAGTATCATTTTGTCAGTGTGGTTATCCTCAGCATCCTTACCTTCACAGACCATCTCCTTAATTTGCTCTGCTCTTCCTCCAAAAACTATTAGCCATTGGACAACCCTCTGGGGGTAAACCTCTACAAATTTAGCTAGCCCAATTCTCAAATGATAAGAGAGCTGATTTGTGGCTGGGCCTCTGCATAAAACCTCCCCATCTTCACTTTTGATCCTGTGGCAAAGCCTTTGAGAATGCTGGCTCCTCCATGCAACACGTTAAGGCCTAGGATTGGGACTTTAGCTGTGACATATTCTACAGTAAGGCGTTATTCTTTGACTTGAAATAGATAATTTTTCTTGTTGTCATGATGCAGTGAAGGAAGGAAAAAAATACTACCAGAAAATCCAACAAGAAGCAGGTTTTTTCTTTAGCTTGATAGTTATGGCTGTAGCCCGGAGTTACTGATTATTAAAGAGCCCAAAGCGTCCTTACGTCTTCTTTCCCTTTGGTTACTGTAACATTTTTCTGGTAACTGTGACTAATGGGCTCATGTTGTGGAAGAAGCTGTGTACTTCAGGCTGAAAGCAATAGGACTTGAAAGAATGTTAAGATGTCACCAAGGCTTTGGGAAAGTACTTCAAAGAAAGATAGCTGGTTTCCCTTTGCCTTAAAAAAGATACTTATTTTATAACTTCTTAATATTCAGAAAGTGAAAGGGGAGAGATCCAAACAATGGCTATTTGGTATAAAAAGAATGTGTGTATGTAATGGGAAGTTGATCAGGAGAGCTTCTGATAATTTTGTCTACCTCCCTTGCCATGCCACTTGACAGAATTATAGGGGATGGATCTTTTCCAGTGACTGGAACTACCTTTTGCTGATGTGTGACTGAGAGTAGGGGTGGGGTAGGGCAGACACTTATCTTTTCCACAGCCTATAAAAATCCACCCTTATATCTTTGGGGACTTTTTTCCAGTGCATTTTCTTCCATGGATTCCCAGCAGGGGGAGAAGAGATTTGTACTTGTGGCAGGTGTGATTTATAACGGAAGCACATGGCAGTGGAGGACCATGTACTTGCCTAGGCAAGCCTGATGCTGGACCTCGACCCCGTGACTGCCTTTGTCTGCCTTTCTGCTTCCTGTTTCCAAGAGTTTCCTCAACTCTTCACTCTCTGTCACCCCCAATATTCAATCACTTGTCAAGACCTACTGCTTCTACCCTCATAGCATCTTTCATATGAGCCCTGTTCTCTCCTTTGACACTGCAACCATCCTGGTGCAGGTCCTCCTCTCCTTGTGTCTGGATTATTGCTATAGCCTGCTGTTTGTCTCCTTGCCTCGAGTCTCCCCACACTCCAGTCCATCCTCTATTCAGCTGTAAAACTGATGACCTAGAAAGCTGGTTGCATAGGTCTGATTGTTACCCCCATATTCACTCAACTCCAGTGGCTCTTTATTACCTCCTAGATCAAGTATAAAACCCTCAGTTTGACTTTTAAAGCCCTTTATAACCTGGCTACTTACTACCTTTTCAGTCTTCTTAATCTTACTCTCCTCTACCTACTGAACGATCCAATGATACTGTCCTCTTAGTTGTTCCTGGAACAAGATAGTCCATCTCCCAACTCTGTGCATTTCCATTGACTGCCCCTAATGTCTGGAACTCACTCCCTCCTCATCTCCACCTCATGGTTTCCCTGGTTTCCTTCAAGATTCAGTGAAAGTTCACCTTCCGTAAGAAGCCTTTCCCAGTCTTCCTTAATCTTACTGCCTCCCAAGACTACTTCCAGTTTGTTTATCTTATTTATACATAGTGATTTATGTGTTTTTTCCCCATTAGATTGTGAGATCCTTGAAATCAGGGACTAGGTTTTTTTTTTTTTCTCATGCTTCAACCAGTGTGCCTGGTACATAGTAGGTACTTGATAAATGCTAGTAGAGTGACTGACTTTTATGAACATGAGACAGGAATTAGTGATATTGAGAAATTAATGTTTTCAGCCTTGGTCATTACCGTTTGAGTGGAGAATTCACTGTGCCCTCCTAGCATGGTGGATATTATCTAGCAAGGGGTCATGATACTTGGCCAACCCTTTTGGCCCTGGACTCTATCATGTGGAATAGGGGCAGAGGGAGAACTCAGACTGATCAGAGGCTCTCTATATCAATCCTGTCTTCCATGTATTATGAGAGCAGCCTTGTGTGGCAGATAGAGTGGTAACTTTAAGATTAGGAAGGCCTATGCTTAAGTGTTACTTTTCACATTGAGATTCTAGGCATGTCCCTTAATGTTACTGAGTCTCAGGTAACTTTCTAAATTTTACCTACTAAGTTATAGATGGACTACTATGTTGGTATAATCACATGTATATTATATTATTATTAAATCAGATATCTATTTGAAATTAGCAGTGACATGATCAATTTGATATAAAGGCCATATCTTTATTTTGCTTAAAGAGTCAATCTTGCTCTGTAGGTTTTTTTTAAAAGTTGTATTATTAATCAAAGAAATAGCTATAGAAATAAATTCTTTCTATTTGTCTTTGTTAGGCTGAATTCTGCTATAGTAGGAACACCGATCACACTTTTTACTCAGAGCTACCAAGCTTCTTACAACCTGCCTTCCACCAGAAAAGGTAATACTATGCTACCTTCCTCCCCATCAAAAACAAAACCTTTCATCTTTAGGGAATTGATGAGAAAGCTTGTTTCAGACTTTTATCTGCATGTCCTTTCATTCCTTCTAAAAAATGTTATCATTAAGGGAGCATGTCAGATATGAGTGTGTTGCTTTTCTCTCTCACACCCAGTACGCAGTGGGTGCTAAATAAATGACTGTAATCTATACTGAGAGGGGCCCAGATGTCATTCTGAATGAGAGGTAGATTACACCAAGAACCATTTAATTCAAGATGCTAAGGGAAATATGTGGTTGCAATGTAGGTTTTCCTTGCAAACCTGGCCTATCTCACAAAAGACAATTTTGTTTTATTGGTATGATTTAATGGAGCTTACCATCAGGGTGAAAAGACATTCTTTTGCTTCTTGGTAATGCTTCTCAGTGATGAATCTGCTTAGAATGGCAGTAATGAAGATGTCTGTAATACTAAATAATTGGACATTTTACTTAAAACACTACAGACATAAACCAAAACAGTTCTGTGCAGAGCATGGATGTGCAATCAGAAATCAAATCACCTAGGGTTTGAATGAATAGAGCATTTTAGAAGGAAAGAGAAGATGGTAATGCTGATAATATCTAATGGTAGGGCTTCTCTTTCAGTGTTTTTCAATGAAGGCTGCGGTAAGTTCTGAAGGGTTTGTGGATACCGTGTTTCTAGAAATCATAAGATTGTTTGGAATTAGATGGCAGCAACTTCCTTCCTCTCTAATACAATCTTTGTTCACCACACCCCACCCCCAACTATACATACCTTTTATTTTTAACAGCTTGCTAAAAAAAAAAAAAAAGGAATGTTGGCAAAAATGTTTTCATTAGACTACATATAGCAAGCTAATGACAAAGAGACTAACTTTGAACAGAACCATAAGGAAGAAGATGCAGTCACTCTGGAAACTGAGTTTGGTTACATCTAAACTATAATTGTCTCTATCATCAGTCAGTCTTACAGATCTGTCTTGTAGGTGGGTGAATGTTACCAAGTGTACCGGATGATGAAACTTCAGCTCCCTAATGGAAAAGGAAAAATTATAGTTGCAAAGCAGTATAAGGTCCCTATATGCAATTTAGTGAAATATTATTGATATATTGGACCTTTCAATTCCACTTGCACAGATGGATAGCAACATTGCCAATAGCTCCATTTTTGAGATTGAAGACAATCCATGTAATTTCCTAGATGTGCCTTGTGCCTGAGCTCATGTACCCCCAAAAAGTAAATAAACACTTTGCTCCCAGGGAAATTACCTGTTTACCTAAAGTATAATCCTAATTTTTAAACAATCAATTCTATGGAAATGTAGAGATATAACCTTTTTGAGTGGGGGTACTTATTTTTCTAACATCTAAAATAAATTCATACATTAATACAATGTGATATGCACAAATCAACAATGCTTGAAGTTTTGATAACAAAATTGACAAATTTTCTAATCAGAAAAATATACTATATTTTAAAGTGTATGCTGAAGGCATGTCCCCTTACTATTCCTTCCAACATTGTAATTTCATGTCATTGTGGTCCTATGGAAAGAATTTCATACTCTAATTCTGCTCATTACTAATTGTGAGACTTGGGATTAAATAATTTTGCATCCCTGGATCTCAATTTCCTCATCTGTAAAATGAAGGGTTTGGACTAGATCAGGGATTCTAAACCTTTTTTGTTTCATGGACCCTAATGACTGTCTGGTGAAGCCTGTGGACCCCTTTTCAGAATGTTTTTAAATGCATAAAATCGAATACATAGGATTTTAAAGAAAACCAATTAAACTGATATCTAGTTATCGAAATATTTGAGAAAGTTCATGGATCCCAGGTGAAAAACTCAAGTAGATATCTCTAAAGTGCCCCTTAGTGCTAGATCCTAGGAAAGCATAGTAAGCTATTTACTTCCCTAGTTTTTGTCCCCCCAAAATTTGTTTTAGATTATTTTAAAATGGAAAATATTTATATTTTGTTTTATGTGGTGACATTCAAACTAATGACTTTTTTTTTTTAAGATATCACCCGGGCTGTGCAGGATATAACAACAGTAAAACCAAGACAAAAAGGTCTACCAAAGAAAGCTTCAAGAAAAAAGGAGATTACAGCTAAAGACAAATCAGATGATACTTTGGAGGACCAACAAGCCAAAAAAGCTGTGGAAGGCAAAGACCACGTGCAGGTTCAAGATGAGCACCAATCAAAGCTGGAAGTGAGGCATGAAGAACCAGGGACCCTAAAACAAGAAGTAGGCCCAGAGGATGTGCCAGATGGTGCACAGATAAGCAAAGCCTTTGGTAAAATGGGAAATATTATTAAAGAGAGAGTAAGAAGTGACAAAGGAGCTGAGCCTCAATCTGATCTTTATACCAAAGGGCGTCATGTCCTTGTTACAGGGGATGCCAGCTATGTAGACCCGGACTTTTGCTCTTCATCCATCCCAGCAAAAGGTGGGATTGTTGTTTCTATTGAGCAGATATGTGACGGTGATGACGTGGAGCCAATACCAGAGCTACCTGAGCCTCCCTGCCCGAATGGAGAAGATGAGCCAGAGGAACATGATGATGAATGCAAAAATCAAGAACATTCTGGAGATGGAAAGGATGAAAGCAGAAACAGAGATCAGGGGGAGGTGGGAGAAAAAACTGATGACATTCCAAAAGACAAGGGGGCTGTGAAGCCCTCTCCAGTAGTCATATGTGGTCCAAATGGACAAAGTGCAGGCCATTCACAGAAGATCAGGAAAGATAAATCTTCTGAGGCAGCAGAAAAAGGGCTGCTAGAGAAAGTCCCCCATGAATCCGTGACCTATGAGAAGGTAGAGGTGGTAGAATCTATTGAGAAATTCTCAACTGACCGAATTCAGACTTATGAAGAAACAGCAGTGATCGTAGAAACGATGATAGAAAAGACAAACAGGAAGAAACCAGGAGACAAAAGCTCGTAAATGGCCCAAACTTAAAGTAGAAAGTATGTTCAAAAAGTCTTTGAGTGAGGTACTTTATCTTAGAGTGAATGATGAAATAATGAGTTTTGTATTTTGTGCAAGGTGACAGTTGATACATCCGTAGCCTCTAAAGGAGCTTTAATCCTAAAATTAAAAAGTTCTCTTTCTTTGAGTAATTGCTTTAGCAATTTATAGTGGCCTTGGTGAATATAAATTCTCCATATTTACAAGAAATGGAACATAAATATTTTTACATCTATTCAATGAAGTTACTGTCAAATAATATTTGTACTTACTGAGAAATCTTTTTTTCTAGCATGATTGTTTCAGGTATTATATTTCAGTAACTATCATTGTCTGGTTTCCAGATTGAAAAAAATGTTAGTGTTCATCATTTGGCTCTTTTGCATTCAATAAAAGCATTATAACCTCCAGAATGTATTTGTGGTTGATGTGTTTTCACCTGCACATGAAGTTAAGACTTACATGCCTTCAATTGATAGTTATACGAATTGAGTATATTGTTGGGAGGCTTTTGAGACCCTGGGCAAAGTATTTTGTCATATTTTCATAACTCATTTAGAAATTTTTCACTTATAAATTACAGACCTAGGGAATACATAAGTCAAACATTCTCAGTGCTCTGTGTGCGACATGTAGTTACTTGTTTATAGAAGAATGAATGTAAGCTGGGGGCAGCCAGCACAGTGGCTAGACTCTAGGCGCTGGGCCTGGAGTCCAGAGGACTCATCTTCCTGAGTTCAAATCTGGCCTCACATACTTACTAGTTGTGTGACCCTGGGCAAGTCACTTAACCCTGTTTGTCTCAGTTTCCTCATCTCTCAAATGAGCTGGAGAAGTAATGGCAACTACTCCAGTATCTTTGCCAAGAAAACCCCAAATGAGGTCACAGAAACAACTGAACAACAACCCACCATTAATGTAAGCTCCAAGAGGGCTGGGACTGGGTTTTTTTTTTTTTGTCTCTTCAGCATCTAGCTCAGTACCAGGCATGTAGCAAGTGCTTGATAAATGCTTAATTTGAATTTGAATTAAATAATAATGTATAGAATAAAACAGTTTTTTATGAAAAAGTAAGGGAGGTTTCTCGGATTCATTAGTGATCTTGGCAAGTAATTTAATTCCTTGGGGCCTCAGTTTTCTTAGAATGAGGGATTTGGCGTAGATGGTCTCTGAGGTCCCTTTAAGTTCTAAACAAATGAACCTATCATTTCTGATCTTTCTACTGTTCCTTATGTTGCTTTTAAGGTTCCATTTTTATATTCATAGTACAAAATCAAATCTTCACTATTACCATTTGCTAACCTCCCTTTAAAAAATCCAGAATGTATAATAATACTGAGTAAATGTTCTTAAATGGATTATTACTTTAGCTAAAAATAATTAGCAGCTGACAAGACAATTGCATTTTAGCTAAAGGAACTGACAAGGTCATATATTCTATTCTATTGTTTCACTATCATGTACAACAGAAAGAATGCTAAATGCAATTAATTTTCTTGGTAGGACTTTAAAAAAAATCTTGTTCTAAATTCATTTGGGTTTTTGATTTCGGGAAATATTTTTTTAAAAAAAATTCTTTTGAAGGGAGGAATAATTAACCCACTCGTTTGCACAGTAGTGAAATATTTGTAATCTAATAGCCTGTGTCAGAGTGATGGAAAGTGTTTCTGGGAGCCCAAATAGAAGCCCAGAACCTAAGTATGAAGTATGATCAGCAAGGAAATTGTTAGAAGGCACAGACTTGCTTTGCTGTGGCTCAAGTACTGAGAGGGTGGGGGGTGGGGGGATGGGGAGGGAAAGTAATCCATTCTTTTTCATTAAAAGGATTTTCAGTGCCAGTAGTGCTGTGTAGACTGACATTCTTATTGAAAATAAGGGAGTTTGTTTTTAGAAAGTAAGATTATTTTTGTATTGAATGAGTGTACTTTAATTTAGGGTTCTAGGCCTGCCTTAGGGTGAAATACATCCACACTGTATTTTGCATTAACAAATAGCCTTCCTTATGGGATAGTTTCTTTAACAACTTTTACTTTAACAGGCTCACATTAAGAAACTTCTTTTAGTTTATTTCATCGCTGTTAGGAGACCAGGGTTCTAGTCCTGTTTTTTATGCTTCTTACCTATCTTTCTTCCACCTTAACAAAATCTTCTCCACAAAAGGAGAAGAGTAGGTTAGACCAGTAGTTCTCAAACTTTCTGGTGTATCAGGACCCCTTGACATTCAAAAATTATTGAGGACATCCTATGGAGCTTTTGTTTCTGTGGTTTATATCTATATTTACCATATTAGAAATTAAACCATCTTAGTATTATTATAAAAATAGTTTTGACCTCATGGACCCCCTGAAAGGGTCTAGGACAAAATCAAATAGAAGGAGGGCCACTAAATAGTACATAAGGATCCCTGTGGGCTGCATATTGACTTAGGAAAAAACTTCCACCACATATTAACATTAGGTGCTATTGTATTTTTATTTATTTTGTTAAATATTTCCCAATTACATTTTAATCTGGTTCTGGCCTCACTCAGGAATGTTGCTGCATGCAGGTGGCATGTTTGACACTTTTGGTCAACGACAAGAGGTGGGGAACCTTCGGCCTCAAGGCCACATGTGGCCCTCTAGGTCCTCAAGAGTGGCCCTTTGACTGAATCCAAACTTCACATGAAGGACCACACTTGAGGACCACATGTGGCCTTGAGGCCACAGGCTCCCCATCCCTAGTCTAGGAGATTCACAGGGGTTCTTAGACCACAGGTTGGAATGATTTATAAGGTCATAAAAGCATAGGTGGGATTTGAGCTGAATCTTAGCCTGCTGATTGTTTCCACTACCTTTATCTTTTCTTCCTTCTCCATCCCTCTGGATGAGGATTGAGGGGAATGTTGGCCAAAATTTGTGTTGGATCTCCACTCCTACCCCCCAACTCCCTTCCAGCCCTATGTTACCATTTTGACTTGTAGTTGGTTCTTAGGAGAACATCTGTACCAAAATATGCAATGGGAAAACCTATTTGTGAATGGTTCTGTCCCGCAGTCAACAAATGTTTATTATGTGCCTACAACATGTCAGAATGGGCTAATCCAGTTACTACAAAGCTAAAGGTCTCTTCCCTGATGTCTATGGCAGCTGGCATTAGGACTGGTGGATGCCTAGTTTCATTCAGCTCTTAAATTCTACAAGAAACTTGTGGATGGCCTTGTTTATCATGACCCTGGTATTGATTATTCCTGGCAATATGCTCCAGGGAAAGTAGAATTCTGGGAGGCTTTGTGGTGATGGTAATGGAGGGGGGGGATGATGCCATTACACTAAAACCTTTTAAGTCAGAAATATCCAATAGAGCTCTTCAAAACAAAATCATCATCTTTTCTAACCTGGGTTCATTTCTTCCCATAGGTCTGCAATGAAAATGAAAAAGGTATGCCAAACACTGGGACCTCCTGTTAACACATATCACATGGTCTGCATTGTTTGAAACCCAGAGAATTCTATCATATGAAACTCTGAGTATCCAAGTACTTTCTCTGGATAGACAGAGGTTATTAATTCAGACATTACTAATCCAAAATTTGTAATAATTTGCAAAAGGATTGAGTGAGGTTGATTTCAGCATTGTAATAACTTGGAAAGGGATGAAGTATACTTTTAAATTTTCTGAAAGAAGGGTTTACTGAACAAATTACTAGTTTAAAAAGATCCTAGTGGTTGGGGAGGATGTCCAAACTTTCCAGAAGCATTAATTTCACTGCGATTGAGAGTTTTACTGTTATCATTAAATTTAACTATTTAAAGCAGATCCTCTAAAGACACTTCTTGGGCAACATTTTGTTGCCTTACTTTAGCCACTACATGTAACTAAAAAGAATAAAACAGGACTTTGGGGGAAAATTTTCTGCAATTCAGATTGTCCCATAATTGATTGATTTCAATGCAAATTTGTTCAAACAGTGAGGTTTTACTGCAGTATTTAATCAGGGAATTTTTTTTCTCAAATGTTCCATTTATGACCAATGTCTAGTGTAAACAGGATAAAATTACTTCTGTTATTCTGTTACTAGGGTTAGAAATATTGCCTGTGGATTGATAAGAAATAGCTTTGCTGAATATATAGCACACCCCACATAATTTCTGGTAGGTAATTTTTTTTATTGAGCCTCCTAATTTACAACATAATTTCTTCATTTTACTTATAAAACATCATCACAAGGATTGATATTTAAACAGAGTTAACCTGTCTTAAATCATCATTTGCTTATGTTCATTTGTATTTTTTATAAATGACTATAAATTAACTTTATCTTGCAGCAGAGCTATCATAAAAACTTACACTAATTGGATGCTTTTCAGTTAATACTGGTGTGAAAAATGGAGTAGAGAACCAAGGATTTATATATATTTATATAATGCTATATATATGTAATATATATAATTTGTATATTGTATTCTCTTATCAAAACTTACAATTTCTGTTAAGAAGCTAATTATGTTCATTGTTAATGCCACAGTTGTGAAAATATGAACAGCCATTTTATAATTTTGCTGCTATATGACATTTAATGTTTATACAGAGATTTGCAAAATTACAGGATGCAATGGAGATCAATGTATGCTTTCATCTAAACTCTGACCCAATCATGATCTTTTTGATATTTTTGAAAATTTCTTTTGTGCATGAGTATGAGCTCTGTTTCTTTAGTAAATACACATACACACATGTTAGTTTTATGTGTGTATATACATATATACAAGTGTATTTATGTATATACGTCTATATATCTTACATATGTATATATTTCTGTGTGCACTTAGACAGGCATGCACACATATTATCCTTTGGTTTATTTTTCAGACCATCACTATGAAATGTATTTGACTGTTAGCATTTTCTATTTTAACTGTAACTAATTTTTTTAAAAAGCATGTGAAACAGGTGGTAAAAAAAAAACAAACCCTCAAACTCATATCCCACAAAGATCCCCAAGCACACTAAACATAAAGGTAGATGGTATAAAATTAAAATGGATTGTTTTCAGCTCATGCCAACTTGGGAAAAAAAGAGAAAATGACAATGAATTGTGAATGGAGTGTAAATCACTCTTGACTTGGACTTTCTAAACCCTTCCTTTCTAAGTCACCATCTTTCAAGGTGATCAAATGCAGAAGCCTCATTTTTTCAGGACATGTGGCCTTTTAGGCACTAGAATCCAAGACTCAGCAAGATCTTATATTCCCTTAACATACTTTCTCATTTCTACACTTTTGCTGTGTCCTTTCCTTTACTCTTCACCTTCTCTTCTGTCTCTACCTGTTGAGTACTTGAAGGCTGAGTTCAGATGCTACACGCCTTCTCTGATTTGCCCAGGTGGTTACGATCTTGTTCCTTTGATGTTCAACACTATTTACCACATCTTGGCTTGTTATTTGCATCATATGATACCTATGAGACTAGACTGTATTTGATCACCCAGAAAGGTGGGTGACTCTATGAGGGCCAGGTGGTGGTTCTTATATTCATCTATATATAGATCTTGAAGTATCTAGAACAATGCTTTGCACAAAATTGGCCCTTAATAAATATTGGCTAGATCAAATTGAACTGAAGAGCTTCCAATGGGGGAAGAGAGAGAAGTGTCCAAGAGAAAAGGAAGCATTAATATGAACTACTTGGGAGTGAATAGAGAAGTTGATGGGAACAAGAACTTTGCAAAGAAAATTGATGGAAAGAAGCTTAGAAGAAATGACTATTTGAGAATAAAATGATGATGATTTTCAGAAGTGGATGGTATGAATCTTATAACCTTTGAATTTTATTTTAGGTATGTTGCTTCAGGCCAATGAATATGGGTCTACTTAATTATGATCTGGTTACCAAGATGATATTTAGGCGCTTTGCATATACATTTATTTGGATCCATGATGATCTTTTCTTCAAAGCTCTGAGCCATCTTTTTAGCCCTTTTGAGGGATTTGGAAAAGAGGATCAGTGTGGGGATAATGGTACAAGCCAACATCTCCAAACAAGCCATATTGCATCCACAGTTCACATGTGTTTCAATAGGAAGTTTTAGACACACCAAAGAGATCCCACCAAACATTCTTCCCTTTTCAGTCTTTTGTAAATAAGAAAACCAAAATATGTTATTGCAATACCAACAAATGCTTTTTTCCCTTCCTCTCCCTGCCCACACTCCCCACCTTAAAGTGACCCAATCTTTATTTTTTAAAAAAGAGACTTTTGCAGCATTTTCTAAAATCAGATGTCAACTGTAATCTTGCCTGCCACCTTCACAAACTGTAAATTGTTGACAGCCATGGTATTAACCCCAGAAAACAGGGGTAGATGAACATCATACAAAATGGGGATAACCTGTGCTGCTTCAGGAGTCACTGTAACTAAGAGTGATAGCTGGTGACACAACAGCCCAGAAGCTGTTTTCAATTCACCATACTGATTGGTTAGACTACAGTAACCTTGATGCTGATGATTGAACCTCCCTCCCCTCCCTCCCCTCTCCCTATGTTCCCCCACCCCCTTTTGTGCTTCTTGAATCTTCTCACCCCTTCTTGGAATGCCTTTCTCTGAATGGCACCTCTAAATCACACCACCTTCATTCACGTAAGAGACTAATCCAAATAATTGAGTCTTTTCAAAGAACCCATGACCAGGTGGGTTTCCAGCATCTCCTTTGATTTTCGAGATGCAAACATCACTCTCCAACCATGTTAAATTTTTTTTTTCTTTTAAGAGTTACCATCTCTGTTGAGACCACAGAAAAATATCCGTAATGCCACAAAATGTAGGCTTTCAAAATTTACTCCTTTCTCTTCTTATATAAACAATGTTTGCCACAGAAAATATGAAGAGAAAAGCCGTCACAGTTTTGTTTGCAAGATATCACCTATTTGAAGGACACAGAAAATAATTCATAGTCACAAACTGTACACAGGAGTTGGTAGGGAACAATATATTTGAGGCCTAGAGTTTAAAAAAAAAAAGAACGCTTCCATTGTAAGGAAAATAATTGTTGACAGAATGTGTGAAATAAAATCAAGGGAATGTGATTTTGGGGCAATGACAGTATTTGCTACAGGTCTAACAGAAGGATTGAGTAGAAAGATGCTCAGAGGAAAGGAAGGAGTGAAGGCAAAAACAGACATGCGGCATTAGTTTTTGCTCAGTATGCTCTTAAGACTTCTCTCCACAGCTTCGTCTAGTTCTTCCTCCAGTTCTTCCTTCTTGGACATCGCCAGCTTGGACTGGTAATCTTTCACTACTTGGTCTATGTAGGGGGCACTTTGTGTTCCGTGCAGCATCAATGTCCATTCCTTCAGCACTCCCCTCTGTGGCGCGCTCCCAACAAACCCAATTTCCAGAATCCATGTCCCTCTGGCATCTTCCCCCCAAGTGTGAGTGGTCATGAACGGCCATTTGTCAAAACCCACCTTAGAGTCATCATCTCTTGGGCGCCGGCTCAGCAAAATGGATTTGGTACCCATTGGGGAGGTCATGTTGATGTTCAAGTCTCCTCTCCTTGTTGCATTCACTGTGATGACAGCTTGCACGTGTTCAAGGTAGCGGACAAAATTTTCCTTTCCCTCACAAGCATCAGTTGTGAGCGTCAAAACCAATTTGTTGTTGGATGGTATTTTCCTGAGAGTGAAAATGACAATGAAATATATTAAACATATATACATATTTATACATATAAAATATGCATATATTTATATATAACATGATAAACAACATGCAGACAAATATGTGTAAATATATTAGTGAAATATAATATTGGTCAGACATGAGTAAAAAAATCAGCAAGGTAATCCTCATGAATTATTTCTTTTCAAGTGACTTTTCTGAAAGGTCTTGCAATTCTAAAAGCACTAGGCTTTGCTATCATTGGTTGCATAGACAGAAACCACTCGAAGGGTACCTTTATTCTAAAAAAACATTTAATAATAATTTATCTTTACATAGCTCTTTAGGGGGTTTTACCAACATTAACTCTTTTGTTACTCAAGACAACTTTGTGAAGTAGGTATTGCAGGTATTATTTCCCCTATTTTGCATCATTTTACATATGGGGAAACTGAGGTTCAGAAAGATTAAGTGACTTATCCATGGCAAATGTCAGAGGCAGAATTTAAGCCCTTGTCTCTCTTGCCTTTGAAGTGTTCTTCTCACTGTTTTCACTGTTACTGCCTTTGGATCATTCCAATCATTTCCTAGCCCAGTTCTGATTTAAGGATTACTATTGCGTATCCTAAGTCACAGTAGTGGGATGAGCCAACGAATTTGATTAAAAAACCATTTCAGTTACTAAACTTACGTTCATCCCATTCATCTGTGATACTGAATATTCTGAAAGCTGTAGGGTCCAGACAGTTAATCCACTTGGGAAAAAAAAAAGCACATTTATTTTCCATCTCTCCATTGCCCTTAAATTAATTAGTAAATCTCTTTATATCATGCAAGGTTTCTACTACTCTCATTCAATCTGGAGCATATTTTTCTGAACCTAGTGATTCGTGTACATAATTTTATTATCTTGCTCGCTACATTGCTTGACCTCACTGCTTTCTCAGGTCTGTGTCTGATAACAACACTCCCTCCATTTTTTTTTTTTTGAAAGTTGCAAGAGACCATGCTGTGGGCAAGAGAAGACGTATATGAATAGCTTAGTGTTGCCATTACTTAAATACAAAACAAAGTTAGTCTGGCATCTGAATTATGGGAGTAATGAATAATAATTAGCCATATAGTATGTAAAAATGTTGCAATTAATACTACAACAAATGCTCCTACCACTAATCCTGACTCCAAGTTCAACATTCTATCCACTGCACCATTTAAATAGGTATTTTTGTTTTTTGAAACCTCAGGCTTTGTCACTAATTGAGAACATTATAAGGAGGGTACTAGAAACAGAAGGCTAAATAGGCTATAGCCTTTCAAGGAATTCCAGATCCACGGAGTTACACATTAAAAGGGAGGGATTCCAACACTGGAGAAATGACTGGGGAATTTGGGTGTTAACAGTCTTTCTGGCAAGGCATGGACTGACTGGCTTGCAAGAGTGTGTAAGGCACTAAAGACCCTGGGGAGTTGTAGTTCTGTTCAGCTTGGTAAGAGAGGAAGCTAATGGAAGAACAGGACTGGACGATGGGTGTTTTGGTTGGATCAGGAAAGAGAGGAGAAGGAGGAAACACGGAGAGAAGGGAGGCGGCGGGGTTTCCTTTCCTCTAGTAGTACAATCCATGGCCGTCATTAGGTGACATCTGCTCCTCTCCTCAAACCCAAGCCTCCGAAGACTTTGAAAGGGGAAAGGTAAAAGGTCATGTCAAGGTATAATACTCTGTGTGTGTGTGTGTGTGTGTGTGTGTGAGTGAGTGCACTTAATCAAGGATATTTGCTCAGGTTGCTGGGAGCGCTGAAAGAAACCCACCTGCACGTTGCATGCACACAAAAGAACGGATGGTCCTTATCTATTTTTCCTTATCTTATTTCATCTGGGTGTGACTAGCATTTGTTTCTAAGCAGGTCTTTGTATTTTGTTAAAGACTGAATCTGGCTGATCTATTCTTATTTCTCAAAAATGCCAATGACTGACCCTGTTCTTTACATCTCTCCATTGCCCTCTGCTCACACGAGGATGCTAGACAGTTCTGGAAGTCACATGGGAAAGTTATCATATCTAGATCAGGCCTGGGATCCCAATCTCTGGCCCCTCCCCTTTCCTATTCCATTGTTATAGAGTTTTCTCTTTCTTACTGGGGGCACAATCATGAACCATCCATGTGTTTCATCACTGTATTTCCAAGAACATAATCACTATGAATTTAGGACCTTTAAGCATGCCCCATTAGGCCATGAGCCTAAGCCCATTTGGACCCCTCCTGGTGACACATGCTTCTTGCAAGACTGCTAAATAGTACACAGCAGAAGCTGAAATGATCAAAAATTAAAATAAAAAAAAATTAGGTTATTCTCAGTCAAAACCTTAACTAGCAATTTTAGCACTTGGGATCACTGCTATATGGGCAAATCGTACTTTATGCTTCTTATTTTGCAAATAATACAAGACATCATTAAGACAATTTTGGCTGAATGACAGGGAGAATTGATTATTCAAGTTGCTTGGCTGAGAGACCCTCAGAGCTTGGAGGTCATCTAGTCCAGACTGGATTAGATTTCGGGATCCTACATTTTTTTTTTTTCTGCTTCAATAGAGAGGACTTTACAAGACTCCCACCTACAAAGTGCTGAGGGGGAAAGGTAGTAGTAGGTTTATTGCCTTTCTGGGGAGAAGCTGGCCTGTTTGTAGAGGAGAGGCTGGCCTGCCTCCAAAGGATGGACGGAAGAGAAAGATCTGGGAGAGAAATGGGTCCGGGAGGGGGGGGAAGATTGGCATTTCTTTTTTGAATGGAAGTAGAGAATGTGTAGGCTGTGTTTTGCTATTTCTATAGCAACTTAGAGTCCGGCCCTCCTCTGTCCTGCTGTCCTGTACCTCTGCCTTTGTCTTCTAAATTCCACTCACTGAGGCAAAGCTATAGAGCCTTAAGCTAGTTGTATCTCTACTATGAGCTAAGGTTTCAAAGAAATGAGTTCATTTTACCTGTCAGTCTCCATTTGGGAGCCCAAGATTTTCAGATGGATAATATGATAAAGTAAATATCATTTGGCTTTTGAAATGCCTGCCTTTATAACTGTTAATATACTCCCTTGCCACTGTTTTTTCAAGATTACAGTGTATGTGGCAAGAATGCTCAGAGATACCCGTTTAGCATAGCAATCTGTAATGCTTCAGCAGGAGGCTGGTCGCTCTTGACAGAAGCACTTGACAATCTCTGGCCTCTGCAGGGGTGTGTGCTGGTAAATGTTTAATAACTGACTCTCCAAAAAAAAAAAATCAGGACACACTTTTAAGTTTCATCAGCATTATTAACATTTTCTTCTTCATTTTAAAAAGTCTAAAAAACCAACAAACAATAAACCAAGCCTTAATATGTGGTCTCTGCCGATATGCTAAGTGTAAATGGTCAGAATGAAAATTAGTAATTGACTGTCATGAACCAGTGCCAGCTGGGTCCAGAAGACTACTACTTATGTAGCTCATCTGCATCTAGTGGGAGAAGGACTAGCTTTGGAGTCAAAGGCAGAGCTAGGCTCAAGTACTGTCTCTGGGGCTTACTACCTGAATAACCTGGGCAAGTCATTTCACTTTTCTGGGCCTTGATATTCTCATCAGCAAAATAAGGGGGTTGGACCAGATGACCTCTGAGGTCCCTGGTACTGACCAGATTGAAGGTGCTCTGAATATTTTAAACAATGCTATTTTCTAGGACTCAGCGGTATAGCACCGGACTGGAAGACAGAGGACGTGTTCTAGTTTTGATTTCAGTATTCATTTGCTTTGGCCAAGTCCCACCGTCCTTCTGAGCCTCACTTTCCTCATCTGTAAAATAGAGATGATAATATCCCCCCTATCTCACAATGTTATTGCAAGGAATAAGTGAGACAATACATGTGAAAACGATTTATAAACCGTCAAGCCCCATGCAAATAGTAGTCTGTGGGTGCAAGTCTGGATGCTAGAGACTCATTGGATTTCACAGTGATCAGGGAACTCAGAGGTGATCAGTTTCAACTTCAGTCCAAAAACCAAGGCTGAAGGAGAAGTTGATTGAAGTCACAGTTAGTAAATGGCAGAACCAGAAGACTTAAACTAAAGTCTTCTGACTCCAAAGGCCTATGTTCTGTCAATTAGACCATGCTGCCTTTCCATAAAATGCTCATTATTTGCCTGCAAAGAGATAACCTCAGAAAATAGGCAAAGTGGGCTCTTTAGACTGTAAGCTCCATGAAGACAAGGAGCATGTCTTATCTAAACTCTGTATTTCTCATATTGTCTAGTGCAGGGGTGGCCACATGTGGCTCTCTAGGTCCTCCAGTGTGGCTCTTTGACTGAATTGAAAATCCAAAAGAAAGTTCTGTGAAGTTGGTTTTAGTCAAAGGGCTGCACTTGAGGACCTAGAGGGCCACATGTGGCCTCGAGGCCACAGGTTCCCTACTCCTGGGTGCATGTTCTGCACACATTAGGTACTCATTGAATTCACTTAAAATATTCAGGAAACTTCAGAACACATAATTTTTCAGAAGCCTTTATAAAGAGATATTTGCTTTGAAAATATAGTAAGAACCAAAGCACAAACATTTCCCTCCAACACCTTGGAAAAACAGTCTCTCCTATACTGTGACCTCAGTCTCTGATAAGGGAAGGGAACAAACATTTATTAAAGCACCTACTATGTACCAGGTACCGTGCTAAATGTTTTACAAATATTATCTCATTTAATCCTCACAACCTGGGAGGTAGGTGTTATTATTATCTCCATTTTATAGCTGAAGAAACTGAGGCAAACAGAGATTAAATGAGTTGCTCAGAGTTACACAGCTAGTAAGTGCTGAGGCTGGATTTGAACTCTGGTCTTCTTGACTCCAGGTCCAGTGCTCTCTCCACTGTGCCACCTAGCTGCCACTCTGAGGAGAGCAGATTTATTCTTCATCACTATTTCTATATAGCCATTGTCTATATAGTTTATGTTCAAATATGGCATCCCCATCTGATGAGTCCTTATTTCGACTATTGCCGGGCTAGGTCTCTAATAACGTCCTTGTTCCTCAGGACAATGAGGACATAGCTGAGCTGACTGTAAAACTCAGCATGGACTCAGATTCCTGGAGGCCCAGAGGTCTGGATATCCAGACGGCTTGTTCTGGCACAGCTACTTTCAATTAAGGTTCAATTATCCAATCCTCTTGGGTAGGTCACTGAACCTCAGGCTGCTTCAACTTTCTCATGTTGAAAATGGGGCCAATCCCATGGATGGGCAAAAAGAAAAAAAAAAGCACCAAAGTTTATGAAGTAATTCCCACTGTGCCAGTTTTCAGGCTACTTTGGGTGATAGCCAATCTGAGCATCATGTTGGATAAGGGAGTGGCCTTTGGCAGGGTGTCAGTGGCAAGGAAGTTCACAAACAAGAAGAGGGGGTTTCTTTTAGGCCATTCGTGGTAATCTGCCACACCAGCATCTCTCTGGCAGCTCCCACATCTGGCCATTTTCTGGGATCTTTCCTGCCCCTGGCTCACTGGAAGTGAGAGAGTGAATTCTATGAAGGCCTTTGGAATGAAGTACCATGGAAACAGTAGCAGCCCCTGTTCCCATCAACCAGGCAGTCTGCAAAGCCTTAAAATATGCTTGAGTGAAAGATGATAATCTCCAGATAGGTGGGGCAACTGGTGGTCTTGAATTCAGGTAATGGTCCAAGGAGAAGTAGATGAACTCAAATACTCTTAAGGATTCAAATGATCTTGGTTTGCTTTTCTCTTGTGGATTTCTTCAACAGAAAATGAAATATATAGATTGGAGAATTTTAGAATGGCTCTAAAAACAGACCCTTTAGGTGGTCCTCCCAAAGAACCTATGAGATAATGAGTGTTAAGTAGTATAAACTCTGGGGCAGCTAGGTGGTGCCGTGCATAAAGTGCTGGACATGGAGTCAGGAAGACTCATCTCCGTGAGCTCAAATCCAACCTCAGACACTTAACCTGGCAAGTCATTTAACTCTGTTTGCCTCAGTTCTTCATCTGTAAAATGAGCTAAGAAGGAAGTGACAAACCACTCCAGTATCTTTGCCAAGAAAACCTCAAATGGAGTCCCGAAGAGTTGAATGCAAGTGAAAAACGACTAAACAACAAAAGTATAAACTCCATATTACAGATGTGGAAACTGAGGTCCACAGAGGTGGAACAACCTACTCTAAAAACATCAAGTGGTTGAGTTAGGACTCATATTCAGGCTTTCTGAGCGTAGGTCCAACACTCTTCCAATTCATGACATCCCTCCAGTTGGGAAGTACAAAGAACAGATTGTTTTTCTTTGGGTACTTCCCAACTCTCTGTGCTTCCCAAAGAAGCAGCGCTTCAGAGATATGCAAAATAGTGAGGGGAAATTATTATGGTTGTGCTTAGACTGGCCAGAGAAGCCTCGACTCTTCAGCCTGTAATGAGCTTCACGCCCTTCCCAGACATCTGAGCAGGGCTAGCCTGAGCAGCTTAATGAGGACAATGATGCATGAGGCAGGATAGCCTGAAGCTGTGTTCTTGCTATGAGTAATACTGTTCATCTGGGGATAAATTATGGCGACTGTAATGCATCACTAATTACTTTGCCAAATGGAATAACTACTATGAAAAGAAAGGTTTCAAAACACAAGCCAAAACACAAGCTAAGAAAATCTCTTTTCTGTCTACAAAATATGATTAGAGTAGTTATCTTCTGTGGATACACACTGGAAGCCCATTTATAAAATCAATGAGCTGAGAGACTGATACAAAAATGACATGGTTATCATATCAAAAATGGAAAATGTTTCTTCGGGCTTTCAGAGGCAGCTGGTGGTGTAGGGGATAGAGTGCTAGAACTGGAGTCAGGAAGACCTGAGTTAAAATCTGACCTCAAATACTTATTAGCTGTGTGACCCTGGGTAAGCCACTTACCTTCTATCTGCATCTAATAATAGCACCTTCCTCCCAGGGCTGTTGTGAGGACAAAATGAGATAATATTTGTAAAGTTCTTGGTAAGCCTTAAAGTGCTATGTGAATGTTAGCTTTCATTATCCCTTCAGGGATGATACAAAGTTTTGTCCCTAGGCTGACAAAATCAGATTGCTCTGACTCTTACTGTGTGACCGTAGGCAGGTTACTGTATCCCCGGTGCTTAGCACAGTGCCTGGTACAGAGTAGGCGCTTCATAAATACTAGCTGACTGAGTGACTGATAAGGGATGACTGTAAGAGGAAGCCTGGTAAAGCCGGGGTCTGAAATGGGAGGTGACAGGATACTGAAGACAAGTTGGGAAAGATTTAACAAAATAAATAAAAATCCAACAGAACGTAGACAATGTTAATATTTGGTTTTCTAAGTCAATAAGTGCTAGCGGGGATCCATAACAATGTATTAGTGGCCCCTATTTATACATGAATTTGACACCTCTGCTGTAGAGGCTAGCTCACTACCGCTGATGGAAGTGAATAAACATTCGCCCTCACTCACTCAGGCTTTTGTACTGAACCTCCAACACAGTGGAATCTCTCGGGGACTGTCTTCCAGTCTTTGGCCATTTTCACCATTGCTCCTGCGTCGAGGACCCCATAGCCAAACAAGTGGTTGAACTCCAGGCCAACCCCATTCCTCCGCCACTGATGAACCTCATCGTGAAGTTGGTTCCTTTTGGATGTGAGCACAGTCAGGTGCTGCATGTCTCTCCATGTCAGGTCCCGGCTGGAGAAGGAGGACAGAGAAAGTGTGTCAGGTCTGGAACTCCAGAGACTTCTCACAAGGTCATGTCATGATAAAGTAGGGCGAGCAAATGACAAAATCAAGTCATCTTTGAAAATCTACCATTCACTAACAGTGCTCTCAACATTTTCTATTTCTGAAAATGTCATTGACTTGAAGCATTCTCTTCGACAGTAGGCAGAAGTCAAACAATCCTGGTAATCAAGCATAGGATTATAAGGTATTAAATTGGCCAAGATGGCAGATTAGAGGCTACCCAGCAGGACTTTTTCAACATTTTCTTCCAAATAACTTTAAAATTATCCCTCAAATCAAATTTTGGATCAATAGAGCCAATAAAAAGTCAGGCTGAGACATTTTCATGGCCTAAGAAAACTTAGGAGGTTGGCAGGAGAAGTTTGTGACGTGGAGTGGAAGGCTGTCTGAGGCCCACATACTAGGTGGCAGCAATGGTGGCCACAGCAGCAGCGGTTTTGGGAGCTTTCAGTTCAGAGATAGTAAATAGGTTGGACAACTGGTCGGCTGGCACTGGGTACAGCTGGTACTGATTGTCAATTCTACTGCCCATATGCAGTTTGGGGATCACTGTTCCAGGGCAGAGAGGAGTGCTGGTATTTGATCACAAGGGAGCAAGGATCTTGATCACAGTTCCAAGGCAAAGCGAGTGTTAGTGTTTGTGGCTGCAGGGGACCAGGTGCCCTTCCTAGGTAAAGACCAGAGTACAGACCAGGAGGGCAGTGACCATACTTCTCCTAGGATCACACCACCTTGGAAGCATCAAAAACTCACAAACCCCCAGAACTAGCTCTGAAAACAGCAGCAGGAAAAAGCCTGGAGTGCTTGCGACAGTGCCTCTCCACCCCCAAGTGAACAGAGTCCAACTTGAACATAAAGTTGAAAGTCAAGAAATAATATGGGGAAATGAGCAAAAAACAAACAAAAACGGAATTCGACCATAAAGTCTACTATGGTGGCAGGGACCAAGACATAAACTCAAAAGAAGACAGCAATGTGAAAACAGTTACCAAAAAAAAACCTAAAAGAAAAATATTAATTCTGGCAACCAGAATTCTTGGAAGAGTTACAGAAAAAGACAGGAGTGATAGAGGAAAAATTGGGAAAAGAAATGAATGTCACATTCAAGAATGTCACATGCAAGAAAATTATGGGGGGAAGCTTAGTGGCACAGTGGATAGAGCATTGGCCCTGGATTCAGGAGGACCTAAGATCGAATTCGGCCTCAGATACATAACACTTACTAGCTGGGTGACCCTGGGTAAGTCACTTAACCCCATTACCTGACCAAAAAAAAAAAAAGAAAAGGAAAATTATGAAAAGGGAATTAATAGAAAATACTGAAGAAAATAACACCTTAAAAGACAGAATTGGCCTAATGGTAAAAGAGTCAGAGAAATTCACTGAAAAGAACTACTTAAAAAGCAGAATAGGCCAAATGGAAAAATAAATACAAAATTTCACTGAAGAAAATAATTTCTAAAAAATTGGAATTGGGTAAATGGAAGCTAATGATTCTATGAGACATTGAGAAACAAATGAATAAACCAAAACACAGTGGTAGTGATCATGATCTTAGACAAAGCAAAAGCAAAAATGGACCTAATTAAAAGGGATAATCAGGTGAGCTACATTTTGCTAAAATGTACCATAAACAATGAAGTAATATAAAAAATTTCTACAGCAAGTTTCTCTGATAAAGGTCTCATTTCTCAAATATATACTGAGTGTAGAACTGAGTCAAATTTATAAAAATAAGAGCCATTCTCCAATTGATATGTGGTCAAAGGACATAGCTTTCAGAAGAAAAAATCAAAGCTGTCTATAGGCATATGAAAAAAAATGCTTTAAATCACTACTAATTAGAGAAAGGCAAGTTAGAACAACTCTGAGGTACCACCTCACACCTATCAAAGATGACAAATGTGGAGGAGATGAAGGGAAAATAGGCATACTAACACCTGTTAGTGGAATAGTGAACTGGTCCAACTATTCTGGAGAACAGTCTGGAACTATGCTCGAAGGACTATAAAATTGTGCATACCTTTTGACTCGGCAATGCCAATAATAGATATATAATCTCAAGAGATCAAAGAAAAAAGAAAAGGACCTATAGGTGAAAAAAGTATTTATGACAGCTCTTTTTGTGGCAGCAAAGAATTGGAAATTGAGGGGATGCCCATCAATTAGGGAATGACTAAAAAGCTGTGGCATGTGATCATGATGGAGTGCTACTGTGCTGTGGGAAATGACAAGGGGGGTGGTTTCAGGAAAAACATGGCAAGACCTATATAAGCTGATGCAAAGTGTAGTGAGATGAACCGGAAGATCATTATGCACAGTAATAGCAAAATTGTAATCATGATCAAGTGTGAAAGGCTTAGCTGCTCTGATCAATACAATGATCCAAGATAATTCCAAAGGACTCATTATGACAAAATGCTATCTGCTTTCAGAGAAAGAACTGGTAAACTCTGAGTGCAAATTGAAGTATAATTTTCTCACTTTCTTAATTTTTCTTGCCTTTTAAAAATTGTGGGTAATATGGGAATGTTTTACACGATTTCACATGTATACTTGATATCACATTGTTTGCCTTCTCAGTGAGTGGAGGAGAGGGTGCGAGGGAGGGAGAGAATTTAGAACTCAAAATTTAAAAAGAAAAGAATGTTAATAATAAATAAAATTTTTTTTAAGAAGGTATGAAATTAAAACATATTCAAAATGCATTGGTGTGTAGTTCTGAACCATAGCTAAAATGTTACATTGATTCATTTAGTCTCACAATTAAAAAAGTTTGGCTTTTAAGAAAATGCTATAAAAAGGGGAATGATTATTTTGAAAGGCCAGGGAACTTCTTGGACATGTGAATCTTTGAGACATTAGCATATGGCATTTATGCTAATGACATGTCATTTCAAAGCAGTTTACAACTTATCCATACCTTAGAAGATAAATTTTAGACAGTTGTTCAGTGAACCTAAGCACATGGTCATAAAGCTAGGAAGTGGCAGAGGTAGTATTTGAACCTAGCTCTTTTGTGGCAGGTCTCCCTGACTCAAGTCTCTCCCCACTCCAGCCCATCCTCCACACTTCTACTCAAGCAATTTTCTTTAAATACAGACTTCTCTACTCCACCAGCTCCAGTGGCTTAACTTTTAAAGTACTACACAAACATGAGCCTCTTTTCATAGTTTCATTAGTCCCCCTCCCACCCTGTGATGCAGCTGAGCCAGCCTTCTCTCTATTTTTCACTCGTGAAACTCCCTCCCCTGACTTTGCACTGTATGTACCCCATGCATGGAATACACCACATCTGTACCTCTTCCTTGCAGAATCCCTCTTGTCTTTCAATATGTTGCACCTTGAAGACTTTCCTTCACCTGCTAATGCCCTCCCTTTCAAACTGTCTTGTATACATACATATGTATCTATCAATTTGACATAAATCCTGAATTTATTTTTATATGTACTTGTTTCTCCCATTAGCATGCAAACTCATTGTGAGATTATTTCATTCTTTTTACTTGCATCCTCAAAGATTAGCACTTGATTGATTGATTCTTGATTCCACATCTAGCACCATATCAAATGAGTGATGGTTACCTAGAATTTACATAAACTATGCATGGAACTTATATAAACTAGAGTAAAATTTTGCATTTAAAAACTTAATCTGGGTGTAGCTAGGTGGCGCGGTAGATTGCACTCCGGCCTTGGAGTCAGGAGGATCTGAGTTCAAGGCCGGCCTCACACCCTTGAAACTTACTACCTGTGTGACCCTGGGCAAGTCCCTTAACCCGGATTGCCTCACCAAAAAAACAAAAAACAAAACAAAAAAACTTACTCTTGCAAAAAGTGGTTTGGCTAGAACTTTCTTATATTAACAAAAAATTAAATATTTTTGGAATGTGAATCTGAATTTGGTAAACCTATTATCTTTCTCCTGAAATCTAATTCTTTTTCTGACTTCACTACTTTTGTCAATGACTCAACCATTTACTTAATCTTCCATATTTGAAATCTTGGTATTCTCCCATTAGACTCTAAACTCCTTTGACTTTTCTCTTTTTTCCTTTGCTGTCCCTAGCCCTCTTAGCATAGCTCCAGGCACACAGCAACTATTTAATAAATACCTGTTAATTGATTGATTCTCTTTGATACTTCCTTCTTCCTCCCACAGCACTTATATTTTACCATTTATTCCCTCCTTTCTAACCTCCCAATTAGACTGATGTAATACTCTGCTAACAGTTCTTCCCACCTCCACTCTCTCTCCCCTGCAATCCATTATCCATACTGTTACCAGACTCCTCTTCCTCATGTCATATTACTCCTGTAATCAAAACTTTCAACGACTCCTTACTGCCTACCAAGTAAATTTCAGACTCCTTAGCCTGGCATTTAAAAACCTGCACAATCTGGCATTACCATACCTGACTACCTTTCTTTGATACTATATGCTTGCAGACATTCTATGCTCTAGCCAGTTTGGATTACTGTTTATTTTTAAATTTTTACAAGCATTTATTATCTCTGCTTTCCACTTCCCCTGCCTCACTGAACAACAAATGAATAAAATTTTGACAAAAATCTTTGCAACAAGCACAAATAGTCCAGCAAGGCAAATTCCCGTATTAGCCACGTCAGATTGGACTACTTTCCATCCTCTGTATATGACCTGCACTTTCTGTTCCATATGCCTCAAATGTTTTTCTCTATGCCTGTTGAATTCTTACTAAACCTTTAGAACCCAAATGCACATGCTATTTGCTCAATGAAGTCTTCCCTGATTGCCACAGTTAGTAATGATTGTCTCTCTAGGGACCTCACATAGCACTTTGCTTCTCTCTTATGCATTTATCATTTGTATATGTTGTGGTATAGTTGGTTCTCAATCAGCCCTGGTGGAAGCAGTGCCCATATTGGTGAAATTTTAGATTCCCAAAACACGGAAATATAATTAT